CTTTTAAAAAACAACGACGGTTTTTTGATCTACCGTCGTTGTTTACTGGTCGTCTTTTGCCCTTTTTGTAGTAGTGTCATTAGGATTTGGATGAAGTGATTCCAAATTTAGGGATTTGAATAACATTCAAAGGTTAAATTGTTTGTTTAGACTATTACAATTTATGTATTGTTGAAATCTGAATAAAAAAGAAATGACGAAAACAAAATGGATTCCAAATAACTCCTCAAGGCCGGCCTTAGGCCTAGGCTCCGAGGGTGATTGCCCAGGGCCTCGGATCAAGGGGGCGCTCAAAACTTTTTGCATATGTATATATATAATTGCTTAGGCCCATATTAAAAGGCATTTCTTGTGAGTTTAAAAATACAAGGGCCCAAATAAAAATACTTCAAATCTTTAAGAATACAAGAACTCGTTTGTTACACACGATTGTCTTGGCACGACTACGATTAGATTTTTATATTTTTCCATATATATATATATACCATATATATATATAAATATATATAACATATATGTGTATATACATGTATACATTTATATTATAATAATATTATATATGATAAATACTGTAAACATTATATATGTATATATACAAAGAAAAATATATTATAAATACGGTAAACATTTTCTTTGAGAAAATGGGGTATATTATAATTATAATATATGTATATGTATATTATATGGGAGCTAATTTTCCCACTCCCCTTTTCTCCACTTACACTCCCTTTTGTTTTTTAATACTTTTTAATGAATTTTATTCTTTTTTATTCTTTCTCTTTCTTATTTTACCATTATTTTGCATTAAATTCTTTTTACTTCACTTTTATATTATTTCTTTTATATTATTTAGTAATAAAAATAAGATCGTAAGAATAAAAAAAGGCAACCAAACCCAACCCCAGTCCCTGAAGTAATTCCTTGCATATTATCATTTCAAATTTATTACAAATGTAATTCATTAGTTTAATTGAAGGGAAATAACCAAATTTATTTATAAAATAGAAAAAACCTCATCTCCCTCCTCTCTCTCTCATCAGAGTTTCCAAAACAGATTAGTTCATTAAAATTGATTGAGCTCTCAACTGGCCGTATACTATCCTTCGTAGGCATAAGAAGTTAGATCGTGAAATATCAAATATAGATTTCAAGGGTTGAAAAATTTGGTCTTTAACAACGGAGATGCTATAAGGTATGTGACTTGAGAGAATTCTGGATCTTCAGTAAGTTTCTAGTTGAACAGACATAATGGGCAGCGGATCCGCTGCCTTTGTGTGCCCTCCATTTCCCCTTTTTAAATGTTTGCCGCGTGTCCTACCATTTAACAGAAAATTAACTCTGTTAACTTATTTTATTTCCCTTTAAAAAAATAAAAAATAAAAAACTCCAAAATAATCTGGAGCATCCTCTCGCCTGTCAACTCTCAAGCCCTACCCAACCACGTCTCTGAACTCTCAAGCCCTAAGTTTCAATGCAACACCACTTCTGGTGCTCTATCTCTATTCGCTGACTATCTCCAAGGACGAATACCATAGCCCATTTTGAGGACTTGAGAATTCAATATTGGGACTTCCCACCAAAGGATTTCATGGAGACCATGACCCAATCATGAAAAGGTTCATATGCAATTGCATAATTAAGAATTTAAATTGTTCATTGATGTGATTATGTGGTTCGTTGTTGGAGATATCTCCTGGTATTGTACTGAATTATTGTTTTTTTTTTTTTTCCGAGAATCACATATTGTGGATTTCCTGCTCTGTTTTGCTGCTTGTTGGCTTTAATGAAGTATTTGATTGAACAAAGGTATACACAAGAATTTAAATTGTTCATTTGATTAACTGGGCTTGAAGGAAACAGAGGATTAAAAATGACGTTGTCTCTGCCATAAACACATCATTAGGATTGAAAATGTAAATAGGGAACCCTATTTCTGATAAAAACTGAGGACTGTGTACCAAGTCTGGATGCCGCTTAAGACAAGCGCTGTTAGAGCTCCAATGAAAGCAAGCATGACCAAGGGGCTACTGAAATGATCTTCGAAAAATTGAGCGAACCATGCCTTCCACTTGGTCTTGTAGTGTTTTTCTAATTTGGCATTGATAAAGTTGTACATGGGATGGGCAAGCACCAAATCAGGGCCTATCTCATGAAAGAGGTCGGCGAGGGCTTCGTCGCTCCCACGCAAGTTGCAAAGTATGCGGGCTGACCGTAACTGCTTAGCATCGTCGGGATGAGCAATGAGTGAACTGAGGAAGCTGAAGTAAGAGGTGACACCAAAATTATTTGGGAAATCAGGACACATTTCGTAGGCTATCAAATTCAAGAACAAAGGCATTGCGTCTTCGTTTATTGGAGGAAGATTAAGAAATCCTACAAAGCCTACAGAAGTAAAAGATATGTCCCACAAGGAGCTAGTTTTGCTGCGCCTAAAATGAACCCCCGCTGCCTTAAGCTCCTGTGCATTGCGAAAAGATGGTGAATTGTCTTCTTTGCGATGATCATCTTTGGGAACCTCTGGTGATGGACCTAGCATTCTTTCCCGAAGAAAATCAAGAAGATGATAAGTGGGGTGACCATAACGAGGAAGATGATGACCGGCTGCTTCATATAAATAGGCCCTGATGGCTTGCACTTCCAATAATAGCCTGTCCGGTGGCTTTTCTGCTGCAATAATCTGCAGTTCAACAAAACTCTGTATACTTCTGAACAGCTCCTGGTTTTTTGAGGCTGAGATCATCAACTCCTCGAGGACTTGATAAGGGAGTTGGTTCTCTAGCAGGAACAAGTCGAGCCGTGCAAAGGCAGCTTGGGTTCTGTTCATCCCAAACTCTTCCAAGCGATCAATTTTGTGCATGAATTGCAAGGTTGAACATCCATCTATGAACAACATCCAGGTGAGTGTCTCATCATCATTGTAGCAGTCCTTTATTTCAGCGATGCAGTCCAGAATCTGCTTGTACAACTGGTCGTAGGTGCAGCCGGAATCCTTGATAAAGTCTGCTGCCAATGCGTATTTGAGTTTCTCAATGCACTTATCATGATGGATAGGACCCATTGCTAGTACTCTTGGCTTAAAGTATTTATCCAAATTACTGTGACTTCCGACAATTCTAGGAACACTTTGGATCTTCGATCTTGAGCTTCTAGCTGAATTGTCATCGGGAGCTGGAACAAGTCTTCTTTCTGCGTCCCTCAGTTTATTAACTCCCTGCTCCACAGAATCAGGCATGTTAATGCTCTGCTGATATGAGAGAGAGAGAGAAGAAGAAGAACATGGCAGGTGGCTGAAATGAGAGAGGGTTATTAGTTGGACTTTAGGCTTAGTTAAATGTAAAGCTTTGCTTAAAGGAATTTGAATACCTATTGGATTGTAATACTCACCTTTGAAGTTTGCTCAATTTCTGCAGATTGGTCTTGGCCTCCTCCTCTTCTTGTGACCTGCCTCACAAACAGCTCCTTCTCCATGGAAACTACATTTTCATTTGTTTGGACCATTTAATTTCAAACTGCTGCTTGTTGAAATGAAGATTTGTGGATATTCTTTTCTTTTCTTTTTTTCTTTTTGGTTTGGCCTGAATAATCTGTGGATGCCATGCATATTTATATACAGCACAACATGCCACAGAAATTCATCACTTGGGCTTCAAGAAAATAGAAGCTTTATTTAGAAGACAGCTTGATGTTTGGATGTATATGCCACAGAAATTCCTCACTTACACTTGAATGACTTTATGTAAATGGGAAGATTGGTATATGTTTTTATTAGTAAGTACACTAATCATATGAGAGCTTTTTGTCAAATGATCACTTACAATAAGCTTCAACTAAAATCAAACAAAAAGTTCCACCAAATTAAGAAAAAAGCACACATGTTCAACTTGCCTTATTTTAGTCACATCTGCTGACAGTGACAGTATAAATACCAAATGGAAAGAGGACCCTTGAGAAGCTATGACTTGTGAAAACCTCTAGAAGAATTCGTAATTGGGGGGACGTACGGAACCGTATACAACACACAAATTGCAAAGCAGCAAATGTATTTTTAGTACCTGAAAAACTTACGGACGCATATTACATTATAATTGTCATGCTCGTAGTCTTTTAGTGCCCGCGCGCTTTCAGGTACTCAAGTAAGGCTTCACATGGAGGGGTATCAGAATTGACGGTGTACCACGTCTGAACAGCGGTCATCCAAAGCCCTAAGAGAGCACCAGTGAAAGCCAGGATAGTCCAGGGGCTGCTGAAATGCTCATGAAAGAATTGAGCCACCCATTTCTTCCACATGGTCTGGTAGTGATCTTCTATCTTGCTTTTAACTTTGCTGTAAATTGCATTGTTAGGCACCAAGTCAGTGCCTATCTCATTGAAGAGTTTAGCCACCTCCTCGTCACTCCCAAGTAAGTTTCGAAGTATGTGCTTTTTCCTCAGATGCTTCACATCATCCGGATGATCGATGAGCGAATCGAGGAAGCTTATGTAGGAGGTGACCCCGAAATCGTTCTGAAAATCAGGACACATTTCGTAGGCTATCAAATTCATGAACTTAGGCCCCATCGAGTCGTCTACTTTTATTTTGGGAAGATCAAGGAACCCACAGCATATATAGCTCTTAAAATATATGTTGCCCAATACGCTTGGCCCTGTTCTCTGCCTAAAATGGATCCCGGCTGCCTGAAGCTCTTGTACATTGCGAAAAGATTGGAGATGAAGGTTGACACTTGGCTCACTTTTTTTAGGTCGATATCCTAGCATTCTTGTCAGAAGATGCTCAAGAAGATGAGTTGGCTCTGGTTCCATGGGTATTGTTACGTGTCCACTTGCTCCGCCTGCTGCCGGTTGTGGTGGCTTCTGCTTCTCATCTGGTGTAACACCGTGCATCTGAACAAAGCTCTCAATTGACTTCTTCACTTCCTCGTATTTGCTGCTGGAGCTCATCAACAGCGTGAGGAGTTGATAAGGAAGTTGGTTCTCAAGCAAGAACATGTCCTGTTCTGCAAAGGCCACCTGGTCTCTCTTGATCTCAAAAGATTCTAACTCTTTATATTTGTATATGAATTCCAGCGTCGAACACCCATCAATGAACAGAATCCAAGCTAGGGAATCATCCTCATGGTCCTTTGTTGCTTCCTCATCATAGTACTCCCTTAGATCCTTGATGTTCTCCTCAACCTTCTTGAGCAAACTTGTCTCATTCTGCTCACTGTCTATGACAAACTTTGCGGCTAATTGAAACTTGACTTTCTCTGCCTGCTCGTACTTCGGTTTACCATGGTGGAAAGGACCGATGGCAGCTACCCTTGGCTCGTAGTATTTTTTGAAATTTGGGTGATCTTGGAGCATGATGGGAACCTTTTGGATCTTTGGTCTGGTAGTCTGAGTTGCTGAATTTTCTGCTGCTGCTGCTACTGCATCCCTGAATTTGTTGAGTCTCTCCTCCTGTTGAAGAATACTTACAGTCCCACATCGGAAACTTAACAAAATAGAAAATCTCATATAACGAATGGCTCTACTCCTAATAACATCGAGCCCTTTTGTATAAAACCCCGCACCTTTTAAATAAGTGATTAAGTTGGAGACAATATCAATATTGCTAGTGGTGAGCCAAGAGTCAGTCCCTTTGAAATCTTTAACACTTAGGACTAGTTTTTATTGCCTCCTCATGGATTGTAATACTCACCTGTGAAGTTTGCTCAATTTCTACAGGTTGGTCTTGGTATCCTCTGCTTACTTGCCCACCTCCTCTTCTTGTGATGACTTGCCTCACAAACAGCTCCTTCTCCGTGGAAACTACATTTTCATTTTTCTGGGCCATTTAATTTTGAAGTGCTGCAAGGGAAAAAAAAGAGTTTGGCCTGAATGATCTGTGGCTATAGATACTAATTCTAGTTATGGCATGCAAATCTATATATAACAACACGCCATAGAAATTCATCACTTGAGCTTGAAGAAAATATAGAAGCGTAATTTAGAAGAAAGATGCCTGATACGCTCGGATATATATGACACAATATTGACAGTGTCAGTGAAGGAAAGTACAGTTGAATGACTTTATTATATGAATGGGAAGATTGGTGTATATTTTTATAGTAAGTACACTAATAATATGAGAGCTTTTTGTCTCCATATCAGATAAAAAGAGAAAGTTTTGCTCATCATGAAGATTGGCATGCCATAAATATTACGACTGGCTAATATACTTGGGATAGTTTCTTTCTCACTAAAAAGAATGTAAAAGATAGCTAGTGTGGTACGATAAGAACAATAATGTGATGCACATGTAAAGTAGAGTTTGCATCCTTGAAGAGAAATTTTCATATAAAATATCAAGAATGTGAGTCACGTAATTCATCATGATTTGAATGAAGTAATTCCAAATTTAAGCAAAAGTAATGTTAACGTTATGTTCTCAAAGACAAAAACGAAACCAAATTAATGCTCCGCAGTACAGTTCTATAGTGTTTTTGAACTGATATTGGGGCTGAATTTTAGCTCAAGTTATTATAAGAGCTTTCAGTTGGGTTGAGAATATTGTCTTTGTCTAGATATATACTTGGGCTGACATATATACAATTGATCATCTGAAACTTTTTGGATTTCTTGGTGTAACTGGTAATTGCCACTGCGAATTCGATTTAAGTTGAGCCTTGCATAGATTAAGCTGGTCTAATCCGTAATTATTTATTTCCATCAAATTAAGATTTTCGCAAAGTTTTTGAGGAAAGAGTTGCTTCCAACAAGTAAGCTGCAAATTTACCCTTGTGCACAGAAGAAATTCAACTACATTCATGAGACTTAAACCACGTACGTACGTTAAGAAAAAAAAAAATTAATAAACCCGTACATGCTCAACTTGATTTGGGTACAGTAAAACAAATTAGTGAGAACTGAAAATGTAAACATAGCATTAGCATTGAAAATGTAAATCAATGCTATTCCTGACAAAAACTGCGGACTGAGTACCAAGTCTGGATGCCGCTTATATATTTGGATTCCTTATTTATTTTACTGTATTTTGAGTACATAAATTTTATATTTGAACTCCAAACTATTTTTAAGATCTAAAAAATACAGAAATTAAAATCAGAAAATCCGAAACCCTAGATTCCCAAATTGAAATTAACAAAAGAAAAGGAGAGAGAGAGAGAGAGAGAGAGAGAGAGAGAGGAAAAAAAAAACTATAAATCTCATTTGTTTTGTTTGTAATAGTGGGGTGTTTTTTAGTTTTTCTTGGGTTTGAGTTTTTAAAAATCAACCTACCAAACGGTTTTTTGTGGCTTTGTACTTAAAATCTGATTTTGAGTTTATAAAATTGGATCTAAGTAGGATACGAAACAGGCCCTTAGTCTCTCTCTCTCTATTATATTTATAAAAGATAGTAAATAGAAATGTGATTAGAGTTCTTATAAGGTACACAAGATTTGAGGTAATCAAATAGAAGGGTTTTCTTTTATGGAAAATTTGAAATTTTTTTTGGACTTGCATGGTATCTTCTTTGAAATAAAAGAAAAATAATTTTGCCATTTTGCCGAATGGCAGGTAAGGAGATGTTATTGAAAGCAGTTGCTCAAGCTATGATGAGTTGGGTTTAAATGAAGAACATAAGAATATGACTGTCAATGTCTGCGTCTGGAGACCATAAAATTAGAAGCACATGACCATTTTTGTTCTACTGATACAAATTTGGAGCGTAATATAAAAAATAAACAGAGCAAAATGCCAATATGAGCCAGAGGAAAACTTCATGTGTTAATACAAGTACCCGTAAGCAACAAAAAGTGTCAATTTTTCGTTTATTCCACACTATATACTGTAACATGTCAATAAATCCAATGCATTTCACAAGTATTGTCTTTGTCTGACATACAATCGATCATCTTAAACTTTCTGGATTTCTTGGTCTAACTGGTAATTGCCACTGCGAATTCGATTTAAGTTGAGCTAAGCTAGATTTAAGTTGGTCTAATTAGTAACTATTTCTTTTCATGAAATTAATATTTTTCCCAAAATGTTTGAGGAAGAGTTGCTTACAACAAGTAAGCTCTGCAAGTAAATTTGCAGCAACCCATAAAATGAAACCATACAGAATTACATTGTTTATTAAAGAAGAGCCTGCAAATACCCTTGTCCCTAAAGAAATTCATACATGTAAAAAAAACTTCAACCGCGTTAACCCGAGGAAAAAACACAGTACATGTTGAACTTGATTTATTTAGTCGCACTTGCATACAGTAAAATATATAAATGAGAACTGAAAAGTTGGGATTTGTGGACCCTGGCATTTATTGGATACTTCAACAAACCAGAAAACAGAAGCGAATTCGATTTAAGTTGAGCTAAGCTAGATTTAAGTTGGTCTAATTAGTAACTATTTCTTTTCATGAAATTAATATTTTTCCCAAAATGTTTGAGGAAGAGTTGCTTACAACAAGTAAGCTCTGCAAGTAAATTTGCAGCAACCCATAAAATGAAACCATACAGAATTACATTGTTTATTAAAGAAGAGCCTGCAAATACCCTTGTCCCTAAAGAAATTCATACATGTAAAAAAAACTTCAACCGCGTTAACCCGAGGAAAAAACACAGTACATGTTGAACTTGATTTATTTAGTCGCACTTGCATACAGTAAAATATATAAATGAGAACTGAAAAGTTGGGATTTGTGGACCGTGGCATTTATTGGATACTTCAACAAACCAGAAAACAGAAATGAGTGTAAGCCATATGCATTTTCAGTACCTAAAGCTCATCTTTTATAGTGGGGAGAGGGTTGGAGTTGTGATGCTTATAATTTCTGCATTTTCCGATTTATGTCCGAAACTAAGGTCATTTTCAGGCTTCGATTCAATTGTTTTACTAGCACAAATCCAAAACCTACAAATGACCTTGTTTTAGCCATAAACACAGTATTAGCATTGAAATGGGTCACTTCTGAGGTAAAAGAGGGTTGACTACCTGCTGGATAGTTGGGAGAGCACTCATGGCTAATTGGTTATCCTATTTTGATTAATCTCCTCTCCATTTTCTGGTTTAATGGAGGTGGCTAAGTGGGATTGTATTACCTACCTTATCTGACCCTTAGTCTAAGTGGTGACTAAAAGGACAGAACGTGGAGGACAATCAGATATCCTATCTCTTGTCCATTGGCCTGTGTAGGTAATGGGATGAAGTAAGATAACACAAGGGAGAAAGCATGTTGAACATATGTAGTGGCAAAAGCTGGAAACAAGATTAGTTTTTCTTGTGAGAGTTTCCAGGAAAACCAAGGGGAGAGCAAGTGAGTTCTCTAAGTGTATCAAGGTGTTGATCAAGGGTGTGAGAGAAACAGATTGTGAGGGTAGTGTTCTAAGGGGGTTTCCTATGTAAACCAAATTTGTAACCTATCTTCATTTGTGAAATTTCTCAAGGTGATCACCAAAGAGGATGTAGGCAATTTGCTGAACCTCTATAAACACTTGTGTCATTTGTGCTTGGTTAATTTCTGTGTGTGTGTGTAAGACTCATCCATCATTGAGTTCTTTGTCTAAAGTCCATCAACAACAAGATCTTTAAGGGCAGTGAGTTAGTCATTAATTCACAACAAAATGAGTATAAGCCATATGCATTTTCAGTACCTATAGCTCATCTTTTATAGTGGGGAGAGGGTTGGAGTTGTGATTCTCTGCTTATAATTTATGCATTTTCCGATTTATGTCCGAAACTAAGGTCATTTTTATGCTTCGATTCAATTGTTTTACTTGCACAAATCCAAAACCTACAAATGACCTTGTTTAAGCCATAAACAAAGTATTAGCATTGAAACTGTTGATGCGAAAAAGCCTCTTCGGAAGTTCCTCTATCTCAGCCAGCTCCATTTGCGAACCAAGGATCATTGATAGAGATATCTCCACATCTAATCCTAGCCTTTCATCACAGAGTTATTAATTTCTGTTTAGCTTTGCTTTAACAAACTGTACAGCTGTCATTTGTACAGCTATATTATTACAAGTGTATATAACCAATTTAATGTAATCATTACTTTTTTTTAATGAAATCAGAATACAATTCTAGTTTTCTCACATGGTATCACGAGCCCTAGTCTAACGACTTTTCTCTCTCTAGTCTAACGACCTCTCTCTACAAATTTTCTTGTGATTTTCTTACTTGCCAAACACCTTTCTTCGATCACTTTCTCATGGCTCCTTTGACCAATTCTGATGCGGCTCCTCTTCCGCCGCCCTCTTCTTCCTCTTCCCCCAATTTTTCTGCTGATTCACCATTGCAAACTCTGTGAGCTCGGTGACTGTTCAGAACATCGCTGGTATGGTTCCAATCAAGCTGAAATCTGGAAATTATCTGCTGTGGAAGAATCTTTTTCTTCCTGTGCTACGCAAATTCAGACTTCTTGGTCTTATCAATGGCGTTGAACCTTCTCCTCCGCGTACCATCGTTTCTTCTACAGGCGCTGTTGTTGCGAATCCACAATTTGATCTCTAGTATGATTGCGATCAAAGCCTCATGATCTGGCTTATTTCAACTCTCTTTGAAGATCTTCTCTCACATATTGTGGGTATTGAATCTGCTCAAGATTTGTGGAATCTTCTTGAAAGGCGTTTTTCTGGTGTCTCTCGAGCCAATATTCATCAACTACGTTCTCGTCTTCAAAGCATTTCTAAAGGCGACCTGTCTATGGATTCATATCTTCAATCTATGAAGGAAATTGCTGATGGCTTAGCAGCTGCTGGTCAATCGTTGTCGGAATCAGATCTCGTTGCCTATGAATATGACTCTTTCATTACTTCAATCGAGACAAGAATTGCACCTGTTACACTCGATGAATTACATGCTCTTCTCCTCAGCCGTGAGACTGCAATTCTCAAACGCAGAACTCGATCCACCACTGCGGTTGCTACTGAGCCTTTTCATGCTTACGCTGCTACTTCTGGTTCTTCTCGCTCAAATTTCAGAGGCGGCCGTGGTCGTGGTCGGTTCCATTCCAATTCTGGTTCTCAATTTCATTCTCGTGGTCATCATTTCACTGGCACCAACAACTCCTCTGGACGAGGCCTTTTACCTACGCCGTCATCTTCTTTTTCTGGCAACACCTCCAATGGTACCAACTCCACTGGTTTCTTCTACAATTCTTCAGGATTCTCTGCTGATCGTTCCATGACTTGTCAAATTTGTGAGCGCAAGGGTCATTCTGCTCTAACATGTCGCCAGAGGTTGAATCTTTCTTACAATGCTAATGTGGTTCCTGCCATATTTCAAGCTCCTTCAGCGCACTATGCTCACTCAGCTTCTCAGCCTACTGATAATCTCTGGCTTGCCGACTCTGGTGCTTCGAATCATGTTACCTCCAATAAGAGCAATCTGAGTCACTCCTCTCCATACACAGGATCTGAGACTCTCCGTGTTGGTGATGGTAATTCCTTAACTATCTCTAATACTGGATCTACTATTTTGCATACCTCAAATGCTAAGTTTCATCTACTCAATGTTCTCCATGTACCTCAAGTTGCTCATAATTTGCTCTTTGTGCACAAATTTGTTAGTGATAATCACTGTTCCCTGATTTTTGATGAAATTGGTGTATCTATTAAGGACAATGCTACACAGAGGATGCTCTATCAGGGCCCTTGTGAACAAGGTTTATATCCCATCTACTGCAGCTCATCAGTTAAAGTTTCACCTCTCTCCTCTGGCACATCTCCTACCGCTTTCTTAGTCAGTAAGGCTTCTCTTCACACTTGGCACAAGAGGTTAGGACATCCTCATTCTGCTGTGCTCAAGACTGTTGTAAATAGTAATAAACTTCCCTTAGAGGGTTCTAGCCTTTCTAAGCCCTACTGTACTGATTGTATTCTTGGCAAAGCTACCAAGCTTCCTTTTACACCTTCTTCATCTGTATCCACTACACCTCTAGAGTTGGTGCACTCTGATGTTTGAGGACCGAGTCCGATTGACTCATGTACTGGCTATAGATACTATGTACTGTTCTTGGACGATTACACTAAGTACAGCTGGATTTTTCCTCTTAAATTCAAGTCTGATGTTTGTGAGGTTTTCAAAGTTTTTAAGGCTAAAATGGAAAATGTCTTAAATTCCAAGATTAAGTATCTGCGCAGTGACTCAGGTGGTGAATATCTTAGTACTAGTTTTCAAACTTTCCTTAACCAACAAGGCATTATTCATCAATTTAGTTGTCCCCATACTCCTCAACAAAATGGGAGTGCTAAGAGGAAACACTGCCACATAGTTGAACTTGCAAGAACCTTCTTAGCTGCCTCTGGAGTCCCTCATAAATATTGGGTGGATGCCTTTCTCACTGCTACTTATCTCATTAATCGCTTGCCTCACACTACTAGTCATATGTCTCCTTGGCAGCTTCTCTTTAAAACTCCTCCCAATTATCATAGCCTCAAGGTTTTTGGCTGTGCATGTTTTCCATGGCTGCAACCCTATGCTCCATCCAAACTTCATCCTAAAAGTAAACTCTGTATTTTTATTGGTTATAGCTTGAATCATTCTGGTTACAGATGCTTAGATCTTGCAACAGGGAGGGTTTTCACTTCGAGGCATGTTATTTTTCATGAGGACCACTTTCCTTTTACCGTCTCTTCTTCCTCCCCACCATCTTCTTCCTCCTCTCCTTTTACATTTCCTATTGAGCTTACTTTTCCACAATCTTCTTCTCCAACTAGGGAGGTATGTACTTCTTTACCTTCAGTCTCTCCTTCTTCCAACTCACCACAATTGAACTCCTCTTTGCCTTCACCACCTGGTTCTCCTTTACCCTCTTCAATTGACTCTTTAATTTCCACTGCTCCAGCTCCCCAAAATACTCATTCTATGGTTACACGATCCAAAAATGGCATTACCAAACCAAAAGCTCTTTTTGCCACTCAACATCCTATTTCTTCCTCTCTTGATCATCTCTCTCTCTTACCCACCACACCTACTACATATAAATAGGCTGTGAAATCTAAAGTATGGCAAGATGCCATGCAAGCTGAAATTGATGCTTTGCTCAAGACTAATACATGGACCTTGGTTCCTCCTTCTTCTTCTCAAAATATTGTTGGCTGCAAATGGGTATATCGCATCAAACATACAGCTGATGGTTCCGTGGAAAGGTATAAGGCTCGACTGGTTGTGAAAGGATTTCATCAACAAGAGGGTTTGGACTACACTGAAACCTTTAGTCCAGTGGCTAAACCAGTAACCATTAGACTGTTTCTTTCTCTGGCAGTTCAATTTGACTGGTTTTTAAACCAATTAGATGTAAGCAATGCCTTCCTTCATGGTTTTTTAAAGGAAGATGTTTTTATGGAGCAACCTCCAGGTTTTCTTAACTCTACAACACCTCATTATGTCTGCAAGTTGAATAGGTCTCTCTATGGTTTAAAACAAGCTCCCCGGGCTTGGTATGAGGAACTGTTTCATTCTTTGCTGCAGTTGGGTTTTCGATCTTCACAGGCAGATTCATCTCTTTTCATTAAAAGTGATCCTTCTCTGGTTTTTATCCTTGTTTATGTGGATGATATCTTGGTCATTGGTCCTTCTTCTCATGCTTGTCAACAAGTGATTAAACAGCTCAGATCTCTTTTTCCCGTTAAAGATCTTGGCCCCGTGCATTACTTTTTGGGATTGGAAGTTCATCGCAGCTCTCAAGGTCTTGCTCTCTCTCAGACAAAATACGCCTATGATCTTCTTCAATGGACTGACTTTTTTGGTGCTGGACTGACTTTCTTGGTGCCAAACCTTGTTCCACGCCCTTGGGTTCTTCTAAGTTGGATCTTGATAGTCCAGAGCTTTCTGACCCCACTTTTTATCGTTCTACCGTTGGGGCACTTCAGTATCTTACTTGGACCAAACCTGATTTAGCTTTTGCTGTCAATCAGGTCTGTCAACACATGCACAACCCCAGAGAATCTCATTTAGCTGCTGTAAAGAGGATCCTACGGTATCTTAAAGGCACTCTTCATCTTGGTCTTTGGATTAGAAAGGGTCAGCCACTTCTTCAAGCTTTTTCTGATGCAGATTGGGCAGGTTGCCCTATTGATCGACTTTCTACAAGTGGTCTTTGTGTTTTCCTCGACCCCAATCTTCTCTCTTGGTCTGCTAAGAAGCAAACTACAGTTGCTAGAAGCTCCACTGAAGCTGAGTATCGCAGTGTTGCTTTGGCTGCTGCTGAATTGGTTTATATCGCTAAACTGTTTAGAGACATTGGCTTCTTTCTAGGCACTCCTCCTCTTCTCTGGGTGGACAATCAATCTGCTATTTCTTTGGCTTCTAATCCTGTGTTTCATGCCAGGACCAAAAACGTGGAAGTTGATTATCACTTCACACGAGAACTAGTGCAAAATGGTTCTCTCAGACTTCACTATGTTTGTTCTTCTAATCAGCTTGCTGACATTTTTACAAAGTCTCTATCTTCCTCTCGATTTGTGTGTCTTCGATCCAAGCTTTCCGTTTGTGACACTACCTTCAGCTTGAGGGGGGCTGATAGAGATATCTCCACATCTAATCCTAGCCTTTCATCACAGAGTTGTTAATTTCTGTTTAGCTTTGCTTTAACAAACTGTACAGCTGTCATTTGTATAGCTATATTATTACAAGTGTATATAAACAATTTAATGTAATCATTATTTTTTTAATGAAATCAGAATACAATTCTAGTTTTCTCACAATCATATGGTTCACAAACTCCGTCTTCGACGGGCAGGCGATGGTGATCGGCTTGGTAGGGCCATCTTCGTCCTCGGCAACGAGAACATCCCTTGTTCCACGATTCCTACTCAATCTGGGGTACAAGTTTCTGGTTGTAGCCTTGCACTCCAACTATTCGATGCAATGCTGAGCTCATGTGGGTTACTCCAGGGTGGCTGTGTTAATAGTTTTGCTAGGTTTCTCTTTTCAGTTAAATTATAGTTTTATGAATTTCAGAAGAAAATAAATAATTAAAACAATCCCAGACCAGTGGAGTTTGGGAAATTGAGAGTGGTTGTGAAGTGAAGCTGTATGGAATGAATATTGAAATGAAGCTTGTAATGCAATTGTAATATTGAGTGCGTTCGTACTTTGTATGGATGGTTTTTTTTTTTTTTTTGTCGAAATCGTATGGATGGTTTTAGTATCTAATCGTATGGATGGATTTTTTTCTTTGGCCAAAATCTTGAGAGAGAGCAATGGGGCAAATATATTGAGAAAGAATATGGGCATCCAAAGAACTGCACAAGGTTTTGGCAATCATTTAAATGATTGAAGTAGGTCTTTCCCTCGTAAATAAAACAGAGTTGCTAATCATATGAGAGCTTTTTGTCTCCATCAGATAAAAAGTTTGTTTGCCTTGTAACTTTAATCATGCAATAGCATGTAAAGTAGAGTTTGCATCCTTGAAGAGAAATTTTCATGTAAAGAACGTGAGTCACGTAATTCATTAGGATTATACATAAATACGTGCGCCAAAAGCCAAAGCAAAGTCACCTAAGCCATAATGTTTGAATGTGCTTTATGGTCCTAAAAAGTTCCAAATTTGATATAATCGAAGGTTGTATTTATCTCACCTGACTCAATTTTGTGAAGAGATTTACAAGAATGAACACAATATTCTTTGATATTATATGGCCACTAGTGTCAACTTGTTGCATTAATAGACACATTGACTCTCACATAATATATTATTAGTTAAATTTGACAGAATATAAGATCCCTCTTGCAATATCTTTTTTTTTTCTTTAAAGTTTGGAAATGCTATAAAACAAACGAGAGGCTTCCAACATGTAATCTGCATGATTAATTAAGGGATTAATTACAACAAAGGCCACACATGATCACAAATTATTTATTTTATTTATTTATTTATTTTCTGAGAATCACATCGATTATGAAATGACAACTTACAATAAGCATGTTACACACAAACTTCAACTAAAATCAAACAAAAAGTTCCACCAAATTAAGAAAAAAGCACACATGTTCAACTTGCCTTATTTTAGTCACATCTGCTGATAGTAACAGTAAAATACCAAATGGAGAGAGGACCCTTGAGAAGCTATGACATTACATTATAATTGTCATGCTCGTAGTCCATTTAGTACCCGCGCGCTTTCAGGTACTCAAGTAAGGCTTCACATGGAGGGGTATCAGAATTGACGGTGTACCACGTCGAAACAGCGGTCATCCAAAGCCCTAAGAGAGCACCAGTGAAGGCCAGGATAGTCCAGGGGCTGCTGAAATGTTCATGAAAGAATTGAGCCACCCATTTCTTCCACATGGTCTGGTAGTGATCTTCTATCTTGCTTTTAACTTTGCTGTAAATTGCATTGTTAGGCACCAAGTCAGTGCCTATCTCATTGAAGAGTTGAGCCACCTCCTCGTCACTCCCAAGTAAGTTTCGAAGTATGTGCTTTTTCCTCAGATGCTTCACATCATCCTGATGATCGATGAGCGAATCGAGGAAGCTTATGTAAGAGGTGACCCCAAAATCGTTCTGGAAATCGGGACACATTTCGTAGGCTATCAAGTTCATGAATTTAGGCCCCATAGAATCGTCTACTTTTATTTTAGGAAGATAAAGGAACCCACAGCATATATAGCTCTTAAAATCTATGTGGCCCAATAAGCTGCCCTCCTTACTATGCTTAAAATGGATCCCGGCTGCCTGAAGCTCTTGTACATTACGAAAAGATTGGGAACCAAGGTGGACACTTGGCTCACTTTTTCTAGGTGGATATCCTAGCATTCTTGTCAGAAGAAGCTCAAGAAGATGAGTTGGCTCTGGTTCCATGGGTATTGTTATGCCTTGAGGATGTTGCTTCTCTTCCCTATTTATGTTTGTCTTCTGTTCCGGCTTTCGTGCACCTTGTTGTGACATCTGGTTCTCATCCGGTGGTGACTTCTGGTTCTTATCTGGTTGTGACTTCTGGTTCTCAACTGGTGGTGCAAATCCGTGCATCTGAACAAACCTCTCGATTGAGTCCTTCAAGTCCCCATGTATGTTGCTGGAGCTCATCAACAGCTTGAGGAGTTGATAAGGAAGTTGGTTCTCTAGCAAGAACATGTCCTGTTCTGCAAAGGCCACCTGGTCTCTCTTGATGTTAAAAGATTCCAAGTGATTATATTTGTATATGAATTCCAGCGTCGAACACCCATCAACGAACAGCATCCACGCGAGGGAATCATCGTCATACTCCTTTGTTGCTTCCTCATCATAGCACTTCCTTAGTTCCTTGATGTTCTCCTCAACCTTCTTGAGCAAATCTGCATCATTCTGCTTACTGTCTTTGACAAAGTTCACAGCTAAGTAACGCTTAACTTTCTCTGCCTGCTCGTACTTTGGTTTACCATGGTGGAAAGGACCGATGGCAGCTACCCTTGGCTCGTAGTATTTGTCGAAATTTTTGTGATCTCGGAGCATGAAGGGAATCCTTTGGATCTTTGGTTTCGCATCCAGACTTGGCGCTTCTGCTTCCCTGAATTCTTTGAGTCTCTCCTCCCTGGGAATAGTTTTTATTGCCTCATGGATTGTAATACTCACCCTTGAACTTTGCTCAATTTCTGCAGGTTGGTCTTGGTCTCCTCTGCTTACTTGTCCACCTCCTCTTCTTGTGACTTGCTTCACAAACAGCTCCTTCTCCATGGAAACTACATTTTCATTTGTTTGGGCCATTTAATTTCAAACTGCTGCTTGTCGAAAGGAAGATTTGTGTCTATTCTTTTCTTTTCTTTTTTTCTTTTTGGTTTGGCCTGAATAATCTGTGAATGTCATGCATATTTATATATAGCACAACATGCCACAGAAATTCATCACTTGGGCTTCAAGAAATGGAAGCTTAATTTAGAAGAGTGATGCTTCATGTTTGGATGTATATGTGTTAGTGAAGGAACAAGTACAGTTGAATGACTTTATATGAATGGGAAGATTGGTATATATTTTTATTAGTAAGTATACTAATCATATGAGAACTTTTTGTCTCTATATCAGATAAAAAGTCTGTTTGCCTCTGTAACTTTAATCATGCAGTAGCATATATGTTGTTTTGGACCACACTCTGAAAAAAGAGAAAGTTTTGCTCATCATGAGGATTGGCTTGCCATAAATATTCGTACGATAAGAATAAAAAATGTAAAGTAGAGTTTGCATCCGCGAAGAGAAATTTTCAAATAAAATCATCAAAAATGTGAGTCGCGTAATATATAGCTAGTGTCCTTTACGCCAAAAAAAAAGAAGTAAAAATCTAGCTAGTGTCCTTCATACCATAAAAATAAAAAAATACAAAGAAAAAGAAAAATCTAACTAGTGTCCTACGTACGATAAGAACCAATAATGTGTTACGCATGTAAAGTAGAGTTTGCATCCTTGAAGAGAAATTTTCATGTAAAGAACTTGAGTCACGTAAGATTTGGATGGAGTGATTCCAAATTTAGGGATTTGAATAACAATATAAGGTTAAATTGTTTGTTTAGACTATTACAATCTATGCATGGCCAAATCTGAATAAAAAAGAAATGAAGAAAACAAAATAGATTCCAAATAACTCATCAGGTCTGGCCTTAGGCCTAGGCTCCGAGGGCGATTGTTCAGGGCCTCGGATCAAGGGGGCCCTCAAAACTTTTTGCATATGTATATATATACATACATAATATATACATAATATATATATATGTGTGTGTATACATGTATATATGTATATTAAAATTACACACAATGCCACTCCTTCTAAGGCAAACACACTATGCCACATGTCCACCACCAACAATCCCCCTCCCGGCCAGCCACCACCGTCAGTCAGCCGCCGCCGGTCAGCTGCCTGCCAGCCCTTCCCGCCTATTACCAGCCAGCCGGGAACCAACTCTGTTGTCCTTTAGTCACCCTGAAAAAATAGAAGATTTTGTGACATTGAAGGGACTTGAACATTGACCCTTGACCCTCAAAGGAGGAAGCCTCACTCATAAACCACCACACCAAACTTATTTTTGTGATATTCTTTCAGTTACACAATATTTATATAAACAATCAACGATTTTTAAAAAATAAAAAACAAATTCATTTCAACACCGATTCGCGCAACATTTGTACCAAATCCCTCATGCTCTAGAGTTATACATAACAAAACAATTTATATATCAGGAAGAGGTATGCAGTTTCTGTTTTTCTGCATTGTAGTTTCTTTTTCATAATGAAGGTGATTAAAGCATTATACTGAACTATAGTACGCAAAACTTGCAGACATAAATTGAACTATAAGAAACATGAAGTAGAAATTTCATACCTCCCAAGGTGCTATGCTTTTCATGTAGAAAGTAAGTCCAAAAACTACATGACAAAACCTATGAACAAACAACCTAAACAAATCAAATCAATAAATAAAAATATGAACTCCACACAAGATTCAAGCAAATCAGTTACTTAAATCAGCTAGAGGTATGCAATTTATCTCATGTTCTATTTTTCTACATTGTAGTTTTTGTTTTTTTGCATTGCAGTTTCTGTTTTCTACAATGCAGTTTCTATTTCTGCATTTCAAAAACCTCACATGAACCATAATATGGCTTAATGGCTAAAAGCAGTTTGACCAAATTTCTATAAAGAATAATAAAAGAAAAGGTGAAAAATAAATATAAACACACAAGTTCACAAAATAACAAACTTTGTGAGCTGCATATACATGAAAAACACCAACCCCCAAGAAAGGGCTAAGCGCACTCTAACTTGACAATTAGCTTATCATTTTACACATAATATACACTTTCATGGTAGTATGCAATTTATCGCATGTTTTGTTTTTCTACATTGCAGTTTTTGTTTTTATGCATTGCAGTTTTTGTTTTCTGCATTGCAATTTCTGTTTTCTGCATCGCAGTTTCTATTTCATCCATTGCAGTTTCTTTTTCATAATGCAAGTGATTAAAGCATTATATTGAACTAAAGTACACAAAACTTGCAGACATAAATTAAACTACAAGAAACATGAAGTAGGAAGTACAACCTCCCATGTTGCTATCAAAATATAAACTATAGTTCAACACATACAAATCAATTAAAATATGTTTTTTCACAATCCATCAAAATCAATATTCATTTAGTAATTGGATTGGGTTCTATGAAACTTATACAGCTTGTTTTTCCAAGAGACATATCGGATATGAGGAATATGTTTTAGGTACAATGGTAAATTGATCAAAACCTGTCACGGTACGGTATTCCATATACAATAAGGTATGGTACAGTACGCATAATAGTGTCAATTGGTATTGCAAAGTTAACACCAGATGATGCTCATGTCCCTGCAAAATATAGAGAGAGAATAAAAGCATTTAAAAGCCTTAACTAAGTTAGCTTCCAGTGTTTTCATGAAAAGGTTTGAAGCTTTGACTACGTTTTATAGTTTGGATATGTTTTGCTGGTTGAAAACTTTGTTAGCTTCCAAGTTCCAGCCTTCTGAATAGGCTAATAGAACTTGGGATTCAAAATCTCTTCCAAGTGTGGTGCTGCCAACTAGTATAGAGCTCATTCGAGGAACATTTGATAATACAAATTAAAGAGCATGCTTTACCTTTGCGAGTGAAAGTTGCTGTGTTAACTCCAATAATATAACCATATGAATCAATCAACCTGAATTCTCTGAGGAAATTCTAACATACATAAGGCTGAAAACTTTGACATTATAAGAAAAAGAGTGAAAGTTTATGCAAAGGCTAGAAGATTAAGCAAATTGAAAATGTTATCAGCGTCTGTTTGAATAGCACATCTAATGGCCTTTCCATCTGGTGAGGGTATCTCCCTGCCCACCATAACACATTCGACAAAGAAACTAAGATCTATTGTTTTTATTTTATTTTAAATAGTAATCTTAGGAAATGAAACTAGTTAAATGTAAACCATCTGAGGAAAATAATTCGGAATTGATCAAAACATACACTCTAAAGATGAACAGAACAAAATTATAGCCAAAGCAAAACAAAATTATAGCCAAAGGAAACAAGTACTGCATAGAGATGCAAAAACAAGAAGACTTTCAAGTACACTGCAGTTTCTAGAAATTTTTTTGTATGTTATAATCTTGACAGGAACAAAAATGTCATGAAATAAATAATGAGCATAAAGATCCGGAGTTCCTCACTGTACCGGTTGGAGAAAAGCTCCTGGAAAAGCTCGAAGGCATCAACATTAGAGGCGATCGGCTTCGGCTCTCCAGTCTTACGGTCTTAGCCCTCCTCTGCTGGATCTTGCCACTGCCAACAACACGTCGTACGAAGTCACAGCCACTTTGCTGTCGCGACTCCTGGACTCAAGAGAGAGAGAACGGAGTCCCCTGGACTCATGAGATAGATCTGATTTTGACAAAGGCTTTTAAAAAAAGGGTAAAATTGTGTCGAACCCGTGCGTGTCTGACACCCTGGACTCATGAGATAGATCTGATTTTGACAAAGGCTTTTAAAAAAAGGGTAAAATTGTGTCGAACCCTGTGCGTGTTTGACACTTGGCAGATGCCAAGCATACTTGACCAAAATGCCCTTATAAGTTTCAAAATTCTTTTTCAAGTTTGACCTTTGCTGAAAATTCGGCATAGTCTCCCCTGTAACTTGCTAGTTTCCCAAAATTTTCACCTGTATAAAACACAATTCCATAATCTCAAACGTTCAGCATACAATAATTTTATCCATACTCAATTCACAGTGATTCACAACATAAACGAAACACTAGCCTTCACCCCGTAATAAATGGGAATAAACAGTAGTCCATATTTTGCTCAATTACAATGGATTTCAACTAAACCCATTCAAAACATAGTTTAGCAGTTTATTTTGCGGCCGCACCTAGATTAACCTAGGTTGCCTACGTACCCTTGCCGAGGGATCAAGTCACACATAGTTCTTTCACTTTTTATATTGTAGGTGTATATCTTTATCATTTGTTGTATTTCCATGTGATTGCAAATCAATCCAAGTACTCATGTTAGTGATATGCCCAATCATATTCACATACTCTAAAGTATATTTTCCAACTTTCCCAATTCTCAAAATAGTTCATACTTGCACATAAGTAGGCTACTCAAAGAATTTCTTCTAATTCATAAATCAGTTTATATATATTACTTGCGTATTGTTTATATATATATAACAAACTAGCTCCAAATGTACTTTTAACCTTTCCTTCGAAACTCATATAAGGCCCATATACATTATATATATATAATTTATTACAGATTAGTAGGAAAACGAGAAAATTATTAAAATAGCATTGACCACGTGAAATCTTAATGTCAATATCAACAATTTAGATAAAATATGTTTCCCTCTTTTACATGTAAAAACAAACTCACAGCTTAAGAAAATAATCATGTACTGTATAAAAATCCTTAAAACTTAGAAAACTCTCAATCCTTGTCTCATAATCATAAAATAGGTATAAAACTTTTACTCCAAAATTACCAAGATAAAATCATCAATATTAGTTAAACATCTTAAAACCCAAATACTCTCCATCTAGGCGTACCCTCATTCATATTTCGTCAATTCCTTTAATATTCTGTCAATTCTGTTAGTATACCGTCAATTCCAAGTACCCTGACTGTTACATCCTTGCAGGCCTCGGAGGCACAAAGTCATCTCGAGCCACAATCCTCGCAAGACTCAGGGGACACCTAGTCAACCTGAGCCGCATTCCTCGCAAAACTCGGGGGACATGCAGTCAGCCCCAGAACGCACATTCTCACACCACACGGTTCAGGAATCCCCAAAACTCGTGGGGCATTTTCATAAATGACTAAACTGTTTCAAAGGCAGCTGGGGGTTACTCTTGAGGTGAGTTTGAAAACCATATTCCAAATCTTTTCTCAACTTTCCAAAAGTCAGTTCTCAACTACCTTTGAATTTACATCACATACTGTTGAGAACTAGTGTCCATAATTCATCATTTTCAACTACTGAGTATATATATTGAATATAACATGCACTTAGATATTTAATTAATTTACCAATCACATCGAAATCTGATTAACAAACCATTCCATTCCGATACTATAATAATAATCTTAATAGCAATAGATAACTAAATAAATAAATAAACAAATAAATAAATAACTAACCACAACCCTTAGAGATTTCATCACTACCAATAATACATAATCTTCAAATAACAAAATAATATAAATATTCACAATTAGCAATCCATATATATATATTCATTCCATAATCATATAAATCCATAATAGAATGCATGGTAATTTAATCAATGAAAAGTAATAACCTTTAAAAAAAATCTCATATCAAATCAATTTCCAATCTAAACTCACTATGCAAGAAATTCCGTACTAAAAGAACTACGTACTCTTAATAAAAACAAATGTCCACTTATTTATGATTCCCAATCCGGAAGTTCCTATATTATCAACAAGATTTAGGATACATGTAAGTTTGGTCCGAATCGAACGTTGGATCTCTCGCGATCGCACGATCAGACGGTTATCGTTTAACGCAAACTTTAAGTTATTGAATCGGAACATCCGGGGCTCCGATTCACGATCCGCGAATTCCTACACTATCCTAGGAATGCCTAGATCAACATATATTGAAATGGAGTTGATCCAATGGTCCGTACATGTCGAACCCGGATAACGCCTTATATGCGATATTCGATCGACGATCAAACGATATCCAAATTCATATCCGAGTATCCCGTCATGCTCGGGACGACATAAGGATGATTTTAGGGCTCAAGGACCGGCCGATGCGTGGATGTCCAAAGCGATTCCGGCGATCGGAAAATCTCTAAACCGACGGTTAAGACTTATACCTAGATGATCAACATATAGAGTGGAGCAACTTTTGTTCTTGGACCTACCCCAAAAATTAATCGGAGATTGCCGGAAATGCGAGCCGAAACTGGCCAAATCTTTAATCGCTAAAACAAGTTTCATAACACAGAAATTAATTCTAAAGAATCCAACCATCAGCTAGAACACATCGAGAGGATGAAAATGAAACAAAACTAATGCTCCGCAGTACAGTTCTATTGTGTTTTTGAACTGATATTTGGGCTGAATTTTGGGTTGAGAATATTGTCTTTGTCTGACATGTATACAATTGATCATCTAGAAACCTTTCGGATTTCTTGGTGTAACTAGTAATTGCCACTGCGAATTCGATTTAAGTTGAGCTTTGCATAGATTAAGCTGGTCTTATTGGTAATTATTTATTTTCATCAAATTAAGATTTTCGCAAAGTTTTTAAGGAAAAGAGTTGCTTCCAACAAGTAAACTGCAAATTTACCCTTGTGCACAGAAGAAATTCAAGTACATTCATGAGACTTAAACCACGTTAAGAAAATAAATAAATAAATAAACCCGTACAAGCTCAACTTGATTTATTTAGTCACACTTGTGTATAGTAAAACAAA